TAGTGAGCATAACACACATAGGAAAATAATGCACAAAGGTGTTGCACTTTTGACAAAAACATATAACATGAGTATTATCTTTGTGAAAATATGGTACTTGAGTATGTTAACCTGTTGACATTTCTGTTTTCAGATGCTTTTCTTTTCAAACCCACGTTAGTCACAATTACCAATTGATCTTAAGTATTTTTGAAGGGTTGTCCTGGTGTGGCATTGTGGGTTAATGCTCCAGACTGCAAAGCCATTTGAACTGCAAGGTTGCCAGTTCAAGCTCACCAGCTGCTCCTCAGAAACCGGGTTTTTAAAGGTTGGAACCAACTCGATAGCATTTAAGAACAATAACAAGATTTGTGAAGGAAAATCAAATTTAGGGTTCAAAATATAAGTTAATACTTAAATCCTTAATTGCTTAATTAAAACAATTTGTTGTTGCTGGTAAGTGTCATTGTGGTGTCAGTTCTAGCTCATAGAGACCCTGTATAGGGCTTTTGAGTCTTTAAATCTTTGTAGGAGCTGAAAGTCTTATCTTTTTCTCAAGGAGCAGCAGGTGAGTGCTAATGCTTACTTTATGGTTCACAGCCCAGTGCTTGTCCTATGGATGCACAGAGCTACAAATAGAATTTAGGCACTTGCATTGTGGTGCTTTAGGATCAGCACTGGCATGCAAACTACAAGACTGGTTCATTGGAAACCCTATACAGGGCTGCTATGAGTCAAAACCAACTCGATGGCATTTAACAATAACAACATTCCATTACAATTATAGTTCTAAAATAAATGAAAATAAATATGTTACTTAAAGAATATAAATGTTAAATTTTGTTCATTGAAAACAGGGAGGTATGGTAGTACAGCAGGTTATGAATTGAGCTGCTAATGGCAAGATCAGCAATTAGAATGTACCAGCTGCTCCACTGCAGAAAGATGAGGCTTTCTGCACCAGTAAAGGTTTACAGCCTCAGAACCTTGATACAGGGTCATTATTTTCCATGGCACATAACCAGCACCACTATTTCAAACAGCAAGAAAAACTGCTCCTTGCACTCTAATGCCTAGGGACATGAAAATTTCCCCGTAAACTACTGCCAAAATACAAAACACAGTATCTTTGTGTCACTAGAGATGCCCGTCAGTAGTTCTAAACAATAGGTTAACATTAAAAAGACCAGAGAGTATATATATCAGATTCCCAGGCTATTAAATTAGAATCTCCAAACTGAACTTGGTGGTGGTGTGCAGTGGAGTTGGTTCCGACTCATAGCGACCCTGCGTAGGGTTTCTGAGACTGTAAATCTTTACCCGTGCATAAAGCCTCATCTTTCACCTGCAGAACGGCTGGTAGTTTCCATCTGTTAACCATGAGGCTATCAGCCCAACTGGTAACAACTATGTAGGCAACAGTAATTTTTAAAGCAGCTCCAGTAGTTAGTATCTTGCTTTCCCCTGATAGACCTGGTGTGGCACTGTGGGTTAATGTGCTGAACTACAAAGTCGGTGGTTTAAACATACCACAGCTACTCCTAGGGAACCATATAGTCAGAACTAACTCATGGCACTTAACAACAACATCAATAAAGGAGTCCTGGTGTGATGCTGTATGATCAGCACTGGACTTTGATGCACAGGTCGCAGTTGAAACCCACCAGCTGCTCCACAGAAACCCTGTACAGGGTTGCTATGAGTTGGAACCCACAAAACAGCACTTACCAATGACAACAAGTAGTAGTTAAAATATTCAAGTAGTTAGGATATGCATTCAAGATTGGGTATCATCTGTACAAGATTTAAAGAAATAATCAAGTATAAACAAATAATTGTGGTTCAGTTTGGTATACTACTTTCTCTGTATTTCAAAGCATATGAAAAGCAGGTCTTGTCAAATATGTACATATCTTTCATTGCATTTACTTAGTTATTTTTCCAGGTTATATTTCATGTTTTTATCCTATAATTCTATTGCTATATATATATTGAAATTTTAAATAATAGCTTTATCAGTAAAACTCACAGAATTATTTGTTGCAAAATACTGTTAGTGTTTATAACAATTAAACACTTCAGCACCTTTCAAATTAGTCTATCAATGTCAAAGATAATTTAAGTTTAAATTATATGATATAAAATGATGTATTTATAGCAATGTATAACTAAATTGAGATACAATTAAGAATTGATGCCTTTGAATTTTGGTGTTGGAGGGAGAATACTAAAAGTGCCATGGGCTGCCAAATGAACCAATAGATCTGTTTTGGAAGAAGTGCAGCCAGAGTGCTCATTGGAAGCTCATTGGCTAAACTTCGTCTCTCATACTTTGGACATATTGTCAGGAGGGAACAGTCGTTGGAGAAGGATATCGTGTTTGGTAAGATGAGGGTCAGAGAAAAAGAGGAAGACCCCCAGTGAGATGGATTGGCCAGGTGGCAGCACTGATGGACTCAAGTGTGGCAGGGGTAGTGAGGTTGGCCCAGGATCGGACATTGTTTTGTTCTTCTGTGCATGGAGTCTCTAGGAGTCAGTTCCGACTCGATGGCACCTGACAACAACATAACTAAATTAAATGCATCATTACATTCCTATTAAATATGATTTTATGTATACATTAATCCATTTGGTCCATATATTTGGTTAATAATTTTTGTACTGCATATTAGCAACATATGTAATATAAATATAATGGTGAATATATAATATTTTTTAAAGAGTTAGCAAATAACATATACATTATGATTTTACTTTGAAAAATATAGATAGATAGATTGCTATATGGATAAAATTTTGGCATGGCACTGTAGGATCAGCACTGGAATGTGATGCACAAGGTAAGAGGTTCGACTCCATCAGCTGCTCCTGGAAAAGGTCGCTATGAGTTGGAACCAATTCAACAGCATTTAACAACAATTACTACAAAATTTAATAATAATTCAAAAGAAGGTGTATTTCAGTTGCTTTTTGTTTAATTATAATTATTTATCATTACAATGCATTTTATTTTCATTCTATAAAAGTATTTGAAGTTTGCATTTCAGAGGCCTTTAAACAATGTATATCTCAAATCCTCAAAGTTATTAACTATTTTTTTTCTTTTTCATTATCAATTAATTCTGCCTCTTTTACCTTATTTATGTCAACTGTTGCAAAACATCCAAAGGCAGTTTAGTTTACAATTAAGAAAATGGGTATTATTTTATTATTTAACCCTTTTCTGATTACTCCACTTGATTGAACTTTTGCTGGTCAGAGAAATGTATTTTTATTTGCTGTATTCTCCACATTTCATAGCATTGTCTTAGGTGGGTTGTCATAAACTGCTGAGAAAATTAAATTACTTAAAAGAGCATAAGAGTTCTTCAGTAAAGTGCTTTCCTCTTTTACTAAAGTACTTTCATTTCGATATGTTGGAAACATTTTATGGCTTTCTATTTTTATCCCTGTAATGTGAATCATTGCATCTCATAGAAAGTTGTTAAAAACCTGCATATTTTTGTTTCTTTAATAAAAATGGTATCACTATGAAATCCCTTAATTGTCTTCTCTAGTTATTTTAAATATGAATAAAATCAGTAGCAAATCTTCATTTCTTTCTTAATGTAAAAAAGACATAGTCATATTCAGTTCAGGAAGTTATATGTATTAGTTAGTTTATAATAGCACTTCCCATATTTTATAATTAATTGCACTGTGATACTGCAATGTAAACTGGCTTGAGTCAGTTGCACATTTGTCCTCGAACTGGACCACAAGCTCAGTTTGAATAATGAAGTGGGTGGTTCAGACTCACCAGCTGCTCCTTCAAATCCTATACAGTATCACTAGGAGTCAAAACTGGCTGAAGGGCACTTTCCCATAATAATGATTGATAAATGTGCTTGTCAATTTTGTAAAGATTTTAAGTATCATATCTTATTATATAAAAGCCAGTCAGTCAAATACTCATCAACTATTCAAAACCAAAATAAAGCATGCTTAACTAGAGTTTATGAGTTATTCCTATTTCAAAAAAAAAATCCATCTTAAAATTCCTTACTATGATAAAGTAGATTTGATGACTAGTTATATATACACAATTAAACAGCTTAATTCGTATTTTACATAGGAAAACTAGACCTATAGGAA